CCGAAATGACGTATTGGTCACCAGTCTCTTTCCATTCTCAAAAAAGCCTTTGAAGGCCTGGTCACACATTTTCAAGACAAAATGGCCGACGTAAAGACAAGAAAAATTTGAGAAAAGAAAAGATTTTGTACATAGTTAAACACAACTTAAACATGTCCCCAATGGTAAGTACAGTAACTAGAGACTTGCTGCTTGTGTTCACATGAATGAAGAAATGATTCTTATTTTTATTGCACAGATAATACGAATACAATCCCGGGAAGGGACAGCGAGAGTGAGAGCTTCGCCGGACGATACGATTTCTTCATTTTTATCCAATGTGAGTTGGTATATTAACATTTTACTTTCAAAATATAATAATCCTGTAACTGGGATGCCATTTAGTGGCATGTTTTGTGATCTGTTTCAGCTTTCGCTTTTGATCTAAGTGTAACATCAATTTTGTGTGACCGCGGTTTTCGCAATTTTTTTGGTGTGTCAGAATATAATTTTAGTGTCGGTTTTTGTTTTCAATATTATTTCTGTGATGTGTGAAGAGACTTATATTGGTGCTCAGTTCTGATGAAAAACATTGAGGTTTGATGTAAAGCATGTTTTATTCACGATGACCAAGCATTTTGTATGCTCATTTACTTCAATATTGCAACTGCTCATACTTATTAATACCATTTTTGTTTAAAATTGTATAAGTCGGTTTTACTATTTTATTTAACTAGAAAGTTACATGTAAAATAACTAATAATTCATTTATTAATTTTCAAATGATTAATTAGTTTAATGCAGATGAATTATTTTATTTTATGTTTGTTTGTTGYTGTTATTGTTTTTATTAATATTTGTCTTTTTTATGGTCTTTCTTTATGTTCTCTCTCATACCATTTTTTTGTTTTGCAGTAATTCTTCCCTACCAGGGCTTCTCCTATTTGAGACTTTTCTTTTCTTTTTTTTTCCCTTTTGTGCTAGCATTAGTCTYCTCTCGCAACGGTCTCTAGCTCTCATAATGGCTGCTCCATAGACCTAGGAACAACCCTCATACAATTGCAAGAGGATGCTATGTTGGCGTTGAATTCACATATGTCTTAAACCATGTTTTTGTAGGTTGCAAAAGAGCTATCCCTTCCCAAGAAAGGGTGGATATTGTATAAAAACAGAAATAAAACAGATAAAGTTGAAAACTCTACAAGAAAAACCTTGAATTATTTATCAATCAAGTAAGGTTTAATCAATAGCTATTCATCCCTTATTATATCATATTGTTAATTCTTTCTTTTTTTAAAAACATAAAAAAGATATTAAAAAAGATAATTTTTTTAGATAATTTCTTTTTATTGATATTTCATATAAAATGCAACCAATTTATAGCAGTGAAACACTAATTTAATATATTAAATTATGCAATATTTATAGTGCTCGTTGAGCTAAAAAAAAAGAGAATTAGTGAGAGTAAAGTGGCAATTGAGAATTAGCGAGAGTAAAGCACCTTTCTCCAAGTCAACAAACTTCAATCAGCATGCATAATTAAATTGTATGAATCAGGTTCTGGGAGTTCCACTTTGTCTCCAACCAGAGTCTTTAGGTAGCTAAGGAGGGTCTTGRTAAAAGAATTTAGAAAACAGTGAATTATAAACAGGTGGAAAAATTATGCGGATGAATGGAGGCCATTACTTGAAGGATAATTATTAAAATTATCATTATAAATTTATATATTATAGGCACGGAGATATGTTATTCCTTGATACCATTAAGAAGGATGAGTCAGAGTCAGAAGGRAAATCCTCAGTAGAGAACCTTAAAGAGGATGAAATTGATATATTTCTCTCTAAACAAGATGGACTTATTCACCGAAAAAAAGACCCTCACATGTAAGAATGGATCTTTGATTGACAACTCTTGTCATTTAACTCTTGTCTTGTGATAATTATTGTTGTGTMTTTGTTGATGTAAGGTGTCACCATGGAGACCATAGCAAGTGCATCCATTGTGTTCCCTTAGAGGTAAGCAGTATGTTAAGCGCTATANTCCACCCATCAAACATATGTCTTTTCATGCTTACCTGAAGAAAATGTCACATGGAACAGATAAGTGAGTAGCTAATGTCAGGCGAGATATTCTTAGCAATAGTGTTTCATAATGCAATATCCTTAACACTTGTTACCCTGTACAATATTTTTAAAACCAAAGCAGGCAGTCCTCAAATGAGCCAAGTCATGTGAAAATTTTAACTTTTTCAGCAAAAAAAATTAATATTTTCCTAAAATTGCAAAAAGATAAATAATCTCAAAAAGGATAATAGTATGATTTTCTTTTTTTCAGGGGGAAGTTTGCCGTCATTGAAGATATAAGTTGTAAAATCAAGCCAGGCTGTACAGAGCATCCACCTTGGCCTGGTGGTATTTGTACAAAATGCCAACCCAGTGCTATTACACTAAAGAGACAGGTAAAATTACTAGGCTCTACAGGAAWKCTAGGGTGGCCGAGCGGTGWGAGSRCTGGCCTGYCACCTCTGWGGACCCTGTTCAACTCTTTCTTTCCTGTTTCTTTCATTCTCCCTCTTGCTRCAAGAGTTTTTCCGGGTCTTTTCCATTTTTTCCTCCCTCAGTAAAAAATGAACCAATTCTCCTATGCTCCACGTTCAGTGGACATTACTATGTAAAGGGAGCACCTAGCTGGCAGCAYGCATATGCGCAAGTATAATGTAAATTGTGTCTGTAATGTAGCACTTTTAMTTGAGAGCAYGTCGAGCTGCGTCTCTCGYAATTCAGCACCTGTGCTGCCATGAAGGAMAATTAGCACCCAATACCTTTTCCTTTTTTACAGGAGGTATCCACCTCCTCCTTTTTTGCATACCTACAAAACACTTMAACACTAATAAATTAGATTGAGAGAAAGAGACAAACATTAGATAGCATTTCTCAGTCAAATCTCGATCAATAATCACCCCTAGTATGTTTTTTAATCACCTGGCAGTATCTTATTTGATATATTCTTTTATTCCCTCAGGCATATAGACATGTTGATAATATACTGTTTGAAAATCCCTCAATTGTGGAACCATTTCTAGATTATTGGAGAAAAACAGGAAATCAGGTAAACTACTTTTTTATAATTAACTATTATAATAGAATATCTAACAGTGTGAGAAAGGTTTTCTTTCAATCATATGTCTTGCAAGTTAACATATGCTTTAATTCAAATGTAGCGTATTGGTTTTCTTATTGGTCGATATGAACACCATAAAGAAGTTCCTCTTGGTATWAGAGCAGTTGTTGCTGCTATATATGAACCCCTTCAGGTAATTTCTTACTGTTATAATATTATAAATTCAAATGTGATGTGAATTTGTTATATATTTAGCTACCGGTAGTTAATAACATATAAATGGTGTATTATATCCAATCCCACTCCATAATTCACAATTCACAAATCTTATTCTCCCAATTTCCATGGCAATGATATGTTTAAAAAAATATAATGTTTTCATTAGGAGTGTACTCCAGACAGTGTAGAACTTGTTCAAGACCCCAACATAGGAATAGTSCAACAGCTTGCTGCAAACCTTGGTCTTCAAGTTGTTGGCTGGATATTCACTGACTTAGTCCCAGAGGATGTCAAGAARGGAACAGTAAAACAGCTGAGAGGAATAGAAACTCACTTTTTGACAGCAGAAGAGTGTATAATGGCTGGCGATTTCCAGAATCAGTTTGCATCAGTGTGCCGGTTTGCAAAAACTGGGAAATTTGGGTCAAAGTTTGTAACTGTTGTCGTATCAGGTAGGTAGAGATAAAGGTGTGTACCTAGTTTCAGTGGTGATTATTTTAGTAATTTAAGTTGGCTGTATCTTTTGCATTTTTTCATTTTTTATTGAATATCATTTGATTTTTACTAATAGATGTTTTGTTGTTCATCAAGGTCATGAAGGAAGTCAGATTGGGTTTGATGGATATCAGGTACATTGAWAGCAAACTAGACTTTTTGTTTGACTTTCTCTCATAATTGCATTTTATTGTGAATTGTCTATAATAAATTTCCTATTGTACTAGTAGTTTTCTTTCCCTTTTTTCTGTCATTTTTTCTTCCTTTTCTTTCATCCTRTTTCTTTCATCCACTTCCCTTCCCACCATTCATCCTTGAATKATTTCAAGGTATATTGGTATCAACCACTTTCCATTGTACTATTCTCTCACACTGTTTCATTTTACAATTATATTTTACTAGGTGTCTAATCAATGCATGGCTTTAGTGAGAGATGACTGTCTTGTCCCTACAATAGATGAACCTGGTCTTGGCTATGTAAGGGAATCCACCAGTGAACAGTATGTTCCTGATGTCTTTTACAAAGTAAGGACAAAGTGACAGCCTGGATATTGGTGCATGCTTGTAAAAAAAAATCATAAGAATTAGTAAATAATGAATTGATAATAATCATTGTCTAATATTGATTTTCTACAGACCAAAGACACCTATAACAATGARGTTACATTACTTGCGCGTCCTATGCCAATAGAGTATGTCTTAGTACAGGTAAGAAACAAGCTCAGCTTTCTTACAAAGCATTCTTACAATAAAAACAGTGTGATGGTGTTATATTGTTTTAATCTTTTGCGTAAATGTAAATCTAAAGCTCTCTAATATTTCACAGGTTCCAGCTGCATTTCCAGTTGAACCTTTGTATACTTTTCCTTTACCAAGAAATGGTGGTGTTTTTCCAATAGAACACAGAGAAAACATTGGAGAATGCCAGGTAAAGCCAGCCAAATAATTAGCCAAATCATATTGCAGCAAACACTGAGTCATGCATGACCATAAACAGGGCAATCACCAACTGGCATYCCTTATAAAGATTAGTTTATGACATGCTAGTTGGTGATTGACCTTCAAGTGACTGCAGTAGAAAGTGTCTGCTGTTAAGGAATTTACTTTCATTATATATTGTTCCTCTCTAACATTGGTGTGTCCGTGTGTCCACAACCTGAGCGGGTACTGTTGATATTAGTGATTATTRTTATTTATTGTAATTATAATTTCTCACTTGGCTGGCAATCAGCAATCAGTGCTTATTATTGTRATTTTTGTCTGTAGAATCTAGATGCTGTCATGAAGCACCTGAATCATTTTYCCCCTAGTGATCTCTTACAAGCAATGAGCAATTTTCATCTTCTAGTATTCCTTGCAACCACTGACATGTTACCATTG